AGTAATACAAACTTTGTGCAAAGAGTTCTTCTTTAGTGTTCTTTCTTTTCTATAGCAGTAGTTTTTAAATAGATTTTACTATTGTTTCACACCTGCTCAATGCCTAGGGAGAGCATTCCATATGGAGAATGATCCACAGTAGCCATGTTTTCTGTTTCAAAGGGGTGAATTTATTAAGTATACAGTATACAGAATAAAAGAACAAAACAGCACACTGCAGAAAGATAGGAGAGCATCACATCAGGCATATCATCCAGCAGAAACTACTGAAGAAGCCCTGAGAACCCAAACAGTGTATGGGAGAGTCTGATGATAAAGAATATCCCAGGCAGAATAACTTCGCCTGGGTGAGACTTCTAATTATCTGTCCCCATCACAGGTATTTTTATACCATGGAATAATCAACAGCTAAGTCTTTTGTTTTGGGTAGGTGCCTGGGAGTGATTTATTTCCCAGCTGTGTTCAAGGACATAATGTTTTTACTCTAACAATGTACTCTTCTATTTTCAAGGGCATGATATTTTCACTTTCTGTTTTTTGAGCTGTTTTGCTAGTCTCCTTTCCCTTTCAAACCCAGCTTGGGAAACAGCTCATCATGGATGGGGTGTGTTAGAGAACATTCAAAGACATACAGGCTTGGGTCTGAAGTTGGGGGGCGTGGGGGAAACCTCACCTCCAGATCCAACCTCTAAGTGAGCTTAAACAGCACATGACAATTTATTAATATAATGTATATTACAAAGATATACCCCCTTTCATCTATCTCACTGTATGAGTGGTTAGAGAAGATTGAGATTTACGTGGGATAAATGGTCTTGGAATGGAAGGATATACTGGGGCATTATAAAGGGGTGTTTGGTGCTGACGATTATAGATCTTGTTTCTTCCTCAATTTAGCTTCCTAGGACCTATAGAACATGTCAGTGAGCTTTTTTTAGGATCTAGGAGATAAAAATATTTTAAACATTTTTTTAGTCAAATCTGAGTTCATTGTCCAAAGGCACAATTTTCAGTGATAATAAGGTGACATTCTCCAGAGTCCTCATTCCTGACAAGATGAGTACAGAAAAAAAGGGCCAGAGGTTTTATATTTGGTGCTCAGGGAGAAGTAGATAACAGATTATTGGACCTTGTAGGAAGAAAAGTTCCAATGAGCAAGTGGATGATCACTTTAAATGTACAAAGCTGGAGTCACTGAGCAAGTGACCAGTTGCCCTAGAGAGACCAGTAAATGGATGTTGTTTGCAAGGAGTGGCTACTACCCTGGGGCAGCACCAGAGATAGAGTCTGCCTATATGGTAGGAGAAATGAGGCATTATTCCATTTAAGATGTTCATGTTCTACTGAAGCTCTGAAAAAAATGTGTTTATTCTGTAAAAATGGTGATCTCAGAAGCTACTAAAGGAAAAGAAAACAGCTACCAAGATCTATCCAATGCTGAGTTTCTGGAGTCTCTCTAGAGGGGAGGTGCCAAAGAGAAATGTAGAGGATTCCTCATAGTGAGCAAATGAACTTGGATGGAGGATCATTAGTACAGGCTGTTGTGAGGACTAAGATAACCTACAGAGCTTTCACTGGTGTGAGCAAGAAACTTGACAGCTTATCATGCCCCACCCACTCCAGTATTAAACACCATCTCTCCAACAAAGCAGACAGAAAATGAGGCCACATCAGATCTTACATATTAACCAAAGAGTCAGAGTGTACAATGAACATCCAGATCTGGCTAGCTGAGAGTAGAAGGCTGGTGTAGAAAGTTAACAACAGCCACAGGATCAGCAATACCCAAGTCTTTGTTTTGGATGCCTGGCCAGCTATGGTGGCCACCGGCTTTGTCCTTATGACTATTTTCTGAAGCAAAGACCCTGAAAGGAAGCCAACCTCTTCAATGCTGTCCTCATGCAGCAGTTAGCATAATCTTTCTTCTACTCACCTCACTTCTAAAGTGAGCAACCATGCCTCATGAAATCACCACTCCACCCTGTTCATATCTAATAGTAGTCCAATGTCATATGCCCTGTGTAGCCCTGTGTAACTGGAAGACTGGACCAGTCTCAGTACATGAAATTTATAAGGAAGAATATTTCAACCTAGCATAAAATTAACTTCAATTATTAGACTATCCAATAGTACCTGTTCTTTAAAAAGGTCTCTTTCTTTGGAAAGGCTCAAAGAGAAGCTGTATATTACTTAAGATCATTGGTACCACAAGAGGGGTCTTCACTATTGTGAGTTAATGTAGGTGGTCCATAAAGACTAAATATGTGATTAAGGGTGAGGTGGGAGTCTACTTGATATAAGTGAAATCATAAAACATTTGCCTCCTTATATGCCAGTGATCCAGAGAAGTTCTTCCAGAAGAGTTCTACCCGAATTGGGGGTACGTACTTTAAAGTAAAATATGAAGCTTTCAAAGATGAGACATTCCAGGAAAAGGTACATCTGGAGGAAGAAACACATCTTGGAATCCTGGGTGAGGAATCTTTATTGCAATTCTTTAGAGCCAGAGAATGGATGAGTACTTAAAAGCTTGAGCCTGGGGATAACTCAAGGGTAGACTGTATACTAGTGTTTTCCAAGTTGATTCCCAAGATTGAATATTTGTAAAAACTGTAATGGATCAGAGTGTGCTTGAATATTAGTAGGTTAAGTTTAGTTAAATAAAATTCTTTGCTGTAAGACTTCTGATAACCTTGGGTTTATATTTTTTGTGCATGATAAATATTCAAGATGGGAATGAAGATTATATATCATTTTTCAAACTTTCACTGCTGAAATATTTTGGTAGCATTCTCTAATGAAATTATGAAACAAATTTCATTTTGAGAATTGCTTCTGTAGGAGTATTTTTGAGATGCTATATAAGGGCATTAAGATTGGCCAGAATTTCGGCAATCTGGAGCCAGAAGCACACTGCCTTAATACACAGATATTTTTCTTATTATTATTAGGGATACAGAACCAGGCTTACAGTCTGATCTTGGAGGAGATATCCAGAAGGTCTAAAGCATACTATTGAAAGAGTATGGCAAGCTTAGATGTGGTTGGATTACTTTCAGGAAGCCCAGACGTTTTGCCTTGGCCACCTTATCCAGGACCTGTATTTTTTTTTTTTTTTTTTGCTTAGAATTGGGTTAAGATTTGGTGAGCTCATATCTTAGCTGGAACCTACTGGGAGATGCAACTATGAAACTTAGTACTAATTTGATTGGGTCTGACAGTGGTGTAGAGGAAGGTCATGGCCTGAGGTTATGGCTCTATAGATAAAGGGCCATTTGAATTTGTGTAGGTCAATCTTTCTTCTTTGAGCTGAAGTTTCCTCATCTGTAAAATGGAGTTAATAACATCCCCTATGAATACCTTATTGTGCTATTTGAGGACCACAAAAGATAATGGATTTAAAAGTGCTTTTGTTAATTATAAATAGCCCTACAGTTGCAATAGGTCATTACTATTTTAAGGAGAGAAGTTATCTATCTTGTCCATATTCAGTTACATTTTCTCCTCCTAGCCATCTGTTTCCAGTCAGCTTCATCATTGTTTTTATTCTCATGGTCTCTCTTTCCCATTTTTCAGGACCAGTTATCCGGGCTGAGGTGGGTGATACTATTGAGGTGGTCTTCTACAATCGTGCCTCCAAGCCATTCAGCATACAGCCCCATGGTGTCTTCTATGAGAAAGACTTTGAAGGCACTGCATACAATGGTGGTGAGCTAGCAGTTTCCAAAAATGTGGGCTACGGGTGGTAGCAGGTGGCTCTAGAGGACAGATAAGTGGAGAACGGGGAGAATGTGATCATGTATACGTGTTGTCGAATGAATACAAGATGGAACAGTGAATCAGAGCCAAGCTCATTAATAGCAAAGAACTTTTTAACAGTATTTTTAGAGGCCACAGCTATATCTTAGAGGTAGAGTTTATATCTAGTGTGGGCAAAGTTCTGAGTTCTATTCTTTGCACTAAAATAAAAATTTATTTCAATATACTTATATAAAGTAGATATTATGGACCTTGAAAAAACAAAATTATAATAATCATTCATAGGCACATTGCAAAGTACTTTTCATGTTTCTTTTAATGTTTTTCTGTACTTACTATATGTATTTATTGAAAAAATGAAATGATGTCACTTGTACAATTTTTCATTCTATTGCCAACATTAGAATATATCTTCTGATGACACAACATTTTTATGACTTTGTAATACTCTGTTGAATGGATTTCCCATAGTTTACTTTCTTGCTTCCATTTTATTGGCATAGAAGTTTTCAGTGGTTTTGAATACTCTAAAACAGGTTACAGCATATGAATATATACATCCTAGTTTTAGTTTTGGGTTGTCATTTCAGGACAGAACCCTAAAAGTGAGATTATTGTGTAATTACTTTCTTATTTTCTCTCAGTATATTGTCTTATGCTCATTCTAAACTAAACTTATAAGAAGCACAAAATTCATAAATGTCAAACTTGCAGACAAATTTGAAATAAAAGAGAATATCATAAGACATTCAGATATTCTCCTTTTATGAAGTTGATATTATAGAGGAAGGGGCAGAAGTAGGCATTAACCAAATACAGACTGCAAACTTTTAGTGATCCTTGATATGACATAGCTTTTTAAAGAGATATTTCTAAAGCAGATAGGGAGGCACACACGCACTTAGGAGGCTCAGTTGGGAGGATTGCAAATTTGAGTCCAGCCTGGGACTATACAGCAAGACACTGTCAAATACACAACCATAACAAGCTGGCTATGGCAGCTCATGCCTTTAAGCACAGAAGTTGGGAGGCTAAGGCAGGAGGATCACTATGAGTGTGAGGCTCCTCTTGGCTACTAATGAGTAGGCTAGCCTGTGCTACTCACTGAAACACTGTCTCAAAAACCCCAAATCCAAAACAACATAGACACTTGGGAGACAACTTAAGTTTTGACATAAATTAGATATTGGATGATATTAAGGGATTTTCTTAGTTCTGAAAATGTTAGTATGGTAGTATAGAAGATTCTTGATATATTTTCAAGTATCTAGTCATGGTGATTTAAATTTTATTTTTAAATGATTCCAGAAATGAAAAGACACAAATAAAACTGTGTGTATGTATATAGATAAACATAGATGGAGATATGTTTCCCTTGTGGTCGCTGAGGTGTGAACCCAGAGCTTCATATGCGGTAGGCAAATGTTCTACAACTGAGCTATTGAGTCCCCTCAATATATGTAGATAAGTTAAAGATAGCAAAATGCTATCAACAGACTTTGAGTCTAGATGGTGAGATCAACATTGTATGATTTTTAAATTTAAATTTCTTTTTTATTAGTGTTTTTAAGTTGTACAAAATAATGAGTTCGTGATATTATTATACATGTACATATTTTATTTCAGTCATGTTCACCCTTTATGCCCTCATTTGGCCTTCTGTTCCTCCCTTTCTCTTCTTAAATACCAAATTCTTTTTTATGTCCAATGTACCATTTAAAGTTTTCTACATATGAAAACTGGCAGAGCTAGGAACAGTGAGTGAATACAAACAGTTACGTTAGAAACGCCTCAAGCTAAACCCTTCTGCTATAGCAATCATGTGCTTGTGTATGCTCTTTATATATTTTTATGGTTATTTTTAAGTATATATTTTAAGATAGAGAATTGATTTATCAGAGGATATAAAATCCAAGGTTTTTTAAAACCTACCTCAAAATTGTTTTCTGAAAGATTTCTAGTCTCATTAATTTGTAGTTGCAGCAACAGAACGTGAGAAAGTGTCTTTCCTCACACCTTCACAATTACTGGGGCAATCTTTATAATTTTTATCAAAATGACACAGTCCTACAAGCAATTACATTTAAAGAAACTCACTATTGTCTTATTCACATTCATTTAATACTTTATGTTAACATTTTCACTACTTACTATATATATTTATTTCTGAATATGAAACTTTATAAATTTTTGATGCATTTTGCCATTATTTTTCCCAAAAATGTTATTCCTGTTTGTACTTAAACTCTCTTTAAAATATTTTATTTACTATTTTTAATAAATCTTTTAAAATTTTTTATTTATTATTTTTATTTTATGTGTATTGCCTGCATGTAAGTAAGTGCACCCGTGTTGTGCAATGCCCACGAATGTCAGAAGAGGCTGTCAGATCCCCTGAAACTGGAGTTACAGACAGTTGTTAGCTGCCATGCGGGTCCTGGGATTCGAGCCCAGGTCTTCTGCAAGAACAGCCATTGTTGTTAACTGCTGAGCCATCTCTCCAGTTTTATATGTATTGAGTGTATTGCCGGCATGTATGTGAGTGCACCCGTGTTGTGCAATGCCACGGAGGTCAGAAGAAGGGCTTCAGATTCTCCTGGAACTGGAGTTAAGGACAGTTCATAGCCGCCATGTGGGTGCTGGGAATCGAACCCAGGTCCTCTGCAAGAGCAGTCAGTGGTCTTAATCGCTGAGCCATCTCTCCAGCCCCTTTAACTCTCTTTAAATGTGAATGAAAGATGTAGAAGCCATCCAAACCATTTTTACCAGCACTGATTAAAATTTATAAAATATTTGCCAATTTCAGAGCTCTAAAATTATGTAGGTATTTTCATTTATACTTTTTTGATTAATAATATGCTGAAAATTAAAAGAACAAAACAGTTTTGTGCATTGCTTGACCATGCACAAATTTAAAAAATTACAGCCTTAAGACTGGGACTGTATCTCAGTCATAGAAATCTTGTCTAGCATGCATAAGGCTCTGAGTCTGATCTTCAGCACGGCAAAAAATGAGTAGAAAAGAAAAAGCCTTAGTGCTTTTCATACATGCACACATACATATATAACATTATGTAAACTCTCACACATTATATTTATATGTGTGTGTGTACATATACACATATATGTATACATAGAAAGAGAAAACAATCAGTAATCAGAAGTGTTCAAATATGAAATGGACTATGATGACTGTTAATAGTTCTTCCTTTCACTGGACAAATTTAAGTGGAGTATGGATATAAGATCAAATTAATGTATGTTTTCAAATAAGGCATATTTCAAATACTGAGATCATATGATTTAAGAAACCTGAAACCTCAGCATATTTCAGTTGACTCAGTTCATATAAGTAGTGGCAGAGCCAGAAACCAAACTCTGCTCTCTTGATTTATAGACCTGGGTTCTTCTCAATATTCATTATTCCATTTTATTGCTGTCATTGTTGTTCTAAAATGTCTTAGTGCTTTATGCTTTTTATTTGACTCTTTGGAGCTGATGATCCTCACTGTAGTTAATGTAAATAATGACTCCAGGTTGCCCTGCAGGTTCATCCCATCCTGGCTTGGTAGCTGGAACCTTTGAGAAAGTAACATACCGCTGGACAGTCCCTCCTCAAGCTGGTCCCACTGCTCAGGATCCTGCATGTCTCACCTGGATGTACTTCTCTGCTGCAGATTCCATAAGAGATACAAATTCTGGCTTGGTGGGCCCCCTGCTTGTGTGCAAGGCTGGTGCCTTGGGTGCAGATGGCAAACAGGTATTGCAGGAGTTGTCTGGATAGAAAGACTGACTAGAGAGAAATAAAACTGGGTTGCTGGATATGAGCTAAGAATGGGACTGGATCTTAGTGGTATGGGACTGAAAAAAAGAATAAAACAAAGCATCATATCAGAACTTAATAGTTGGTGACTGCTTACTATTATGGATGTTATTATTTTATATACCAACACACAACTTCCTCAGCTTTTGATCCTCTAGCCATTATTCCACCTCCAACTTCATTAACCCCTAAAATTGTTCCTAATCCACATATTTGCTTGTCATATATTAAATCTAACCCATCATTTCTAACTGTGTAACCTTGGGCAAGTTACTTAACATCTCTTAAATTCAGTCTCCTCATTTGTGAAGAAGGGGTTAACAAAAGAAGTTTCCTTTGGTTTTTGTGAAAATTCATGAAATTATATATAAAGTGCTCAAGACACTTTCTGCCATATAGTAAACAGATAGTAGATGTAATGATAATAGTGATGATTTTCTAATTCTCTTATTTTCTAATTTTCCTCCAGAATTCTTCCCTGGTTTCCTAACTACCTTCCCCAAGTCCTCTCTCCAGGTGATTTCCAGCTATCTTTTTTCACAGATTGTACTATATCTCCTTAATCCACATTTCAGGCTTCTTTCCTGCCCCCCCTCCCCCACGAGTGTACATATTTCTCTACTGTAGTATTGTTCCTTTACTCTGATTTCCTTCGCCCCTGTCCAAGTGGTAGTTTCCTGAGGAAAATCCGCCTTACAACAGCTGCAGTTCTGAGCAGGAGATACAGGCTTGGCTCTGAGTCTTAAAAGACATGAGAAAGAATCAGGAATCCTCGGGTTTACAAATACATGGTATACAACTGTTGAAACCATTTTCATTCTTCCCTCTGATTTTTTCCACTGGGCCTGCAGAAAGGGATAGATAAAGAATTCTTCCTCCTTTTCACTGTGTTTGATGAGAACGAGAGCTGGTACAACGATGACAATCAAGCAGCTGGTATGTTGGATTCCCGACTGCTCTCAGAGGATGCTGAAGGCTTCCAGGACTCTAATCGGATGCATGGTATGGGGAATAATTTTGCCTTGGATTGTAACGGAAAAATGGTCCCAGTAAATGATAACCCAACCCATAGTCTTAACCAGTCCCTGAAAAATGTTCATCTGATTTATCAGTTTTATTCAAGAGACAAGCTAGATTGAGGAATTCAAAACAACAGCTCTTCTGTTTTATAATTATTATTTAAATTGCATGTGTGTGCTTGTGTAAGTGAATGCTGTGGGTACCACAGAGGCTAGAAGAGGTCATCAGATCACTTGAAGCTAGAAGTGGTTGTGAGCTGCAGGACATAGGTGCTGGAAACTGAACTCGAGTCCTCTGGAAAGCAGTCAGCACTGTTAATCACTAAGCCATCTATTCAGCCCTGAACAACAGCTGTTTTACACTTACATCTTGTATTTTCCACAATATGGCAGGCTCTGTGAGATAATACTGTGAGAGGAAAATTGTGTATAAGTTATCTTCTACAGAATATGACAAATTAAGCTGAGGTGATATTACTGTACTGTTTCTCTTTCTAGTGCCAGTGATAGAGTCCAGGGCCCTTCTATCTGCTAGGCAAGTGCTCTAGCACTGAGGGACAGCTATAGCCCTCATCCAGTCTTGCATTACTCTACCCTTTTCCCATATCCTGTACTTCAGCAAAGTAAGGCCATTTTTCTTCCCATAATCATAGCTTATACTTTTCTTATTCTATGTTTTTCAATGTTGTGCCCTGCACCTGAAATCTCCGTTTTTACACATTTACCTTTGTAAATCATGCCCATTTCTAAGATTCTACTCAAAAGCTACTTCACACACACTTCCACATCTTACCACTCAAGTCCAAGGTGATGATTCTTTTACCTAACTACCGCTGCACTTTAGTGAGGTCATTTTTAAAGCATGTTCCATTGTAATTGTTTGTTGCATGGCTCTTGACTTCTAGAGTATGTTGGTTATCTTTGTATTGTCTACATTATTTAATTATTAGATTCTAGTACATTTTAAATGTTGAGTTGCTGAACTACCTAATGAAGGGATAGGTAGGAGAATGAATGAATGAATGAATGATCACAGATTTCAGTGATCTCCCAGTAATTTGCAATATGATGTGAATTACAACCATGAAAACAATTATAAAGTAATCTAAGATAGCAATAATTAAGCACGAAATTGTGTAAAAGCTTTTTTAAATTCAGAGGAGGAGAACATTAATGAGAAACAGTTAAAGGATTCCTTGAAGAACAGAGTGCTTGAACTAGGGCTGAAGACTGATAAGGTTTGCAATTAGGACTGGGGAAGCAGCACAGGAGATTAGCAATGTTTCAGTCAGAATCCCAGGAGATTATTAAATAGGATGAGTTCTGGAATCTGATTCTTAAGAGCATGGAAAATGATAAGCTTCAAGCAGGCCTCCCTATATTTGGATGGCGGGTAGACAGGGTGAGGTGCATAAGAATGAATGCATTGTCTTCTGCCTCCATTTTTTGGTTCCCCTTCCAAGGTATTTCTATTATATGGGAAAAGTAAAATGGTCTCATGAACTACATTCATTCCCGTTTTGAATTTACTGAATTCCTAATTGGTAGCAAACAGCATCACAGCTACACAACACAGGCAGTCGTACAGATACAGATGAAAATGAGATGCATATTGCAGGAGATTTTGGACACTCTGAAATAAATTGTATAACAGAATTTTGCATATTGAAAGTCTGATGATACAAGGAGGGTGGAAGAGAGAGAGAGGAGAGAGAGAGAGGAGAGAGAGAGAGGGGAGAGAGAGAGAGAGAGAGAGAGAGAGAGAGAGAGAGAGAGAGAGCTCCTTAGAGGAGATGATTGAGTAGTAGATTAGTATAATACCATAGAGCCCAGAACTGAAGTGTATTCCAGGTTTAGGGAAAAAAAGATATAAAACCTATGAGTATATTATGTTTAACACCTTGAGACATAGAGACAAATAGATGTAATAGGATAATGATGTGTGTGTGTGTCTGCGTATGTGTCTGTGTGTGTGTCTGTGTGTCTGTTTATGTGGGTAAAAACTACTTCAAGTAGGGGTACCTGGAAGGAGGCTTTCAGGGGAGTTCTGGGGGAGGAAATAACCTTGACACTAGCAGTCAGGATGAAGATGAGGAAATTGTTTGAGAGCTGAACATGGAAGGCTGGGGTTGGGGAATACAGTCTATGGAGGGGTGGCAAATGAGAACTGAGGACAAGGAACAATCCGAGCTTGCAAGAGAATTGGAAGTGTAGTGCATGGAAGAAGAGTTGGAAAACAGTGGGAACAGGTGGCATCTGTGTGTGTGTGTGTGTGTGTGTGTGTGTGTGTGTGTGTGTATGGTGTATGTGTGTGAGGAGTTGCAGTAGTAGAGAATAGTGCATTATTTGTAGTGTGTGGTGTAGGAGGGGAAACAAGTGAGACCAGAAAAGGTAATTAGGCTCTCTTCCCAAAGACACACTCATGAGTTGAATGTGACTAGCATTAAAGAGTTTAGGATGATCTGAAGTTTTCACGTGTGAGAAACCATATTACAGAGCTGATACCATGCTGCTGATCAGGGTTTGAGTAGTCTGATCTCATCTCCCTATCTTGTCTTGTGTTTTTGTTTTCCAGCTATTAATGGGTTTCTGTTCTCTAACCTGCCCAGGCTGGACATGTGCAAGGGTGATACAGTGGCCTGGCACCTGCTTGGCCTGGGCACAGAGACTGACGTGCATGGGGTCATGTTCGAGGGCAACACCATACAGCTTCAGGGCATGAGGAAAGGTGCAGCCATGCTCTTTCCTCACACATTTGTGATGGCCATCATGCAACCTGACAGTCCTGGTAAGTGCCTTAGTACTTGGCCCTAGGCTCACAGGCTTTGTTGAGTATGGGGGCCAGGAGTGACAGGGGCCAACAGAATGTGAAAAGAAAAGGAGAGGCATGTTGAGGGGACTGGGGAGATTTTCCAAAACTTTTTATCTTCTCTTTCTTTGGTACATCCTCCACGTTCTTATTATTTGGATGATGTCCTATTTTGATTCCTCTTTTGCTGTGACAAAACTCTGACCAAAAACAACTTGGGGAGGAAAGGATTTATTTCAGTCCATAAATCCCAGGTGACAATTCAGGAAAGTCAGGGCCGGGAACTCAAAGCAGAAACCTGGAGGCAGGAGCTGAAGTGGGTTTCTGTTCTCTAACCTGGAGGAATGATGCTTAACTGGCTTCTTCCAGGCTCACATTCAGCCATCTTTCTTATACAGGCCAGGCCCACCTGCCAAAGAATGGCACCACAGTATGCTAGGCTCTTGTACATCAGTCGACAATCAAGAAAATGCCCCACAGACATGCCCACAGGCTACTCTGATAGAAAAAAATAACTGTTGAGGGTCCTTCTTGCCAGGTGTGTCAAGTTGACTACTGAAGCTAACTATGACAGATGCTTTCTTCAGTTGCAAAAAGCATAACAGAGTGAATAAAAGGTTGAGAAAGCTGTTTTCTCAAGCATGAGGTGAGAAGTTCGAGCACAGCTCAGCTTTAGGGCAGTTCTTTTTTTTAAAATTATTTATTTAATAACCATGTAATTAGAAGAAGCATTTCATTACAACAGCATTGACATATTCAACAACAATTTCCAGAGCTAAGATATATCTCTTTCAAAATTGACTGTAAATTTTTAGGTTCACAGTTGAATTAATACAGTTATACAATATTGAACTCTGTATAAAGCCCATAAGACATAAAATTGAATGAGGTTTTAACCTTTAAGAAACATCTGCATTTCATTTTAAAATATATTGTTTCATACAGAAAACAATATCATTTTTAATGCTACCAACACTTAGATGTTTGCATATGCATCTCTAATCTCTATGTACCTGAGTATTACTAGTCAGAGTCGGTTAAGTCATCAGGTAGATTTCAATGGTAATGTTTTTCACATCTACTAATTACTAAGGAGCAAATTTTTATGCTTTGAAGAATTTTTTTTCTTTTTTTATTTATACACCCACTTCCTAGGTAGCACCCTCCCATAGCTTCCCTTCTCCCACTAGAGCCCTTATACTCTGATATCCCTGCTACTCTCTGCTGTGTTGTCGGCACCCCCAGCCATTCTCCACTACTGGCCCTTCTGGCGAATCTAGTCAGCCTATCCAGAGGTCTTTGTTTTAGGAGGGTCAGCTGAACCATCTTCATCTAGTGGAAATCAGTTGTCTATATTCCTTTGGATAAGATTGGGATCTGCTGTTCTTACTTGATAAAGGTGCACTTATCCACACAGCTTCTTGGCCACATAGAGAATTTATACCTGCAACTCATTTTGGAAAGAAGGGCAATGCCATGTACCTGTATGGGTGTTTAACTTTGCTATTTTTGATAATTTTGCCAAGCCCTTCCATTCTTGGTGTGGAGATGTGTGTGTGTGTGTGTGTGTGTGTGTGTGTGAAAAATACTGCTTAGTTAAATGGATTTGTAAAGAGAACAAAAATCCAGAGAAAGCTTTGCTCTGTTCACTGACCTGCTTTAGTAATGACTAATATTTAAACACCATGTATGACCTACCTTGGGGCTGTAGCAAGGAACAGAGGAAGGGTGAAAGAACATATCTTGAAAAGAAGTCAGTGTGTTGGTATAAAAAGAAATCACTAGAAATCTGAAGATCTGGTTTCCAGTCCCTGCTTTGCTGCTTCCTTCAAGTATGGCAAGAACACATTGCTTCATTTGTCTGGATCTCAGTGTGTGTGTTTGGATCTCAGTGTGTGTGTGTGTGTGTGTGTGTGTGTGTGTGTGCATGTGTGTGTATTTACCTAGGAACTATAGGTCAGGACCTTTCACTGGCTCACTAATAACTGCTCTAATCACTTCCCTTCTCTGTAGCTAGAATCAGTCCTTCCTTTCTTTTCCTCCCTTCCTGTCTTCTCTCTTCCTCTAATTTCCCCTCCCTTCTTCTTACCATTAATTTCTCCCTTCTCTTTTGAGAAGAAATTTGACTCAATTTTTTTGTAAATTTGATTAATTTCAAGCTTTTTAAAATTTTACTACATTGTTTTGTTTTATGGTTTTGAAGATTTTATACTTTTATAATGAAGCAGTTTTTTTTTTCAGTCCCTAGGGTGTACTCTTTTTCTAGCCAGTAGGTGGCAACAGTGTTTGTAAGAAAATGTATGCATCTGCAGTTCCTACTAAACCTTTTATTTTTTTGATTGCATAAATTCCATTTGTATTTGGAACATTTCTTAAGGAAAATAATTTCTTTTAACAATTTAATAATTTCTGTGTGGACCTAGACTTTAGAGACACAACATAAAGCTAGTCTCTTCAGATATCTTGGTTACCCATTGTTTCCAGTCTACCTAGAATATCTTCTTGGCCAGGGATAGTTGTTAGTATATTAGAAACATCACTAAATGGAGCCGAAAGAAGTATAAGAAACACATGTACTCACTGAGAAAGTGAGTAAAGTGGTGAAAATCTGAATAAGATAGATCATATTCTGTCCTTTTAATCCCAAAGCCAAGTTCCATATTTTATCTCTTCCTGAAAAGTCAGCCAGGATCTCCAGCCATATCTGTATTTTTCTAGTGTTCACTCGAACTGGAAATGAATGAAATTATTTCTGTGCCATGCTATGGGCCAAATAGAGTAGCTGTTAAAACATTCTGGCCTCTCACCGTGGTGTGTGTTTATAGGCTGAGTCATTTCAGTGGCTGAGACGGGGGTGGAGGGAATGGTTAAGCTCAGTATTTGGGAACCAGCCTGGGCAATAAAATGAGATCGCAATTCAAATAATTAAAAAAAAAATTTATGGGTAGTCTGTAGGGAAAAGGGTAGGGCAAATATGTACAAGTAAGGCCTTAAAATGTCATTCTTGGTTAAGAATCTTGAATTTTGTTACTAGCAATAGCACAAATCTTTTTCATCCTTTCTTTGTCTTTTCATATCTTTAAAACTTTTAAAGAGAAATCCCAAGTTATAGAACACTGGGATTAGTAGGGACCCTTTTATATAATTTAAATTCATTGATTTTATTAATGGATGTGAAGAATATAGACCTGAAGGGGAAAGACAGAAGTACTAGCTCTCTGTTTTTCTTTTTGTTTATCTCTGATTCATCCTCCATCAAATCCTATTAATCTCATGCCTCTATGATCTTTTGAATCTGAACTCTCTATTTTGCCTCTGGGTACTTGCTCTGTGATTAAGATGGAGAAAGATGATTGTGACTAGCTCTCAAAAAAAAAAAAAACAGAGCAATATAATGGATCAGCAAGGATTAGAATCTGGCTTTGGGATTCTGGAGAGACAGGAATTGATGGGTAAGCATATAGATGTGCTTGTGCAGATTTGCAGATGCTTTACAAATATCACTCTGGACAGGCACAGTAATGCATGTCTGTAGTCCTAGCAACTTAGGAGGCTAAGCTGGGAAAATGAATTGAGCCAGAGAGGGTGACAACAGCCTGGGCAACATAGCAAGACCTTGCATTAAAACATCATTTTGGAAAATCAGCATACTATGTCTTGGATATTTACGATTATGTTTAAAAATAAGCAAAATCAGATATTAAGAAGTCAAGAAAATGTTAAAAGAGTTTTTATCTGTGACTATTGGTGACTTTTTTCATCATTCTTTTTTCTTGGCTTTAAATTTTAATAAGCTTACATTACCTTTAATAGAAAATACCATCTTATATTTAAAAATATCTCCCTATGTAGTATGATTCAGCTATTCAAATTGAAATACTGATACTGGAGCTTTAATACCAGACACAATGTCAGGGAAAAGGTTAAAGCCTGAATGTATTATGCTCCATTAAACTCATGCTAGATTATTCAGTAGCAAAGAAAATTTTTTACTGTCTGGCCCCACATTATAGTTTCTTGCCCATCTTTTCCCATGGGAACTCTCTCTTTGTTCATCATTCCCATCCTTTCTTCTCTTTTCCATTTCCTGTCTTCCCTCATCCCCCTTTCCTCTTTTGTTTTCTCTTCATCTCTAATTCCTTCCTTTTCATCCTTTGTCTTTCTCCCCCTTCTTTCCTTCTTTTTCTTCTATTCCTTTAACATTTTGCCCTTTGTTTTTCTTTATCAGTCCGTCCTTATTTACATTTTACCTTCCTTATCAAATTCTTTCTACCCTTGTGTACTTCCTTTTATTCTAGATTTTTCTTTTGTTTTTCTTTACATTTTCACTTGTCATTTTTCTTGCTTCTTCCTGTTTATCTTCTTTTCTTTGCTTCCTTTTTCTTTAATGAGTTTTGAGCTTTTGATTACATTTATTTACTTTATATGTGTGTGTGTCTGCCTGTCTGTCTGTCTGCACTCACACCACACTGTGCATGTGGGGTCAACGAACAATTTTCAGGTTTTGGTTCTCTCCTTCCACCAGTTGGGATCCAACCCAGGTCCTGGGCTCGGTAACAAGCACCTCTAGCCACTGAGCCATCTTACTGGCCCATCTTTTTTCTTTTTATATTTATTTCTTTCCCATTTGCTTTCCTCCCGTGTCCGTTTCCTTCAATTTCTTCTGTCTTACACCTCTTCTTTCCTCTTTTTTTCTTCTTTTTTGTTCCTAAGTCTTTCATGGTGTCTCTTCTAGTATTTTGTTCCAATAAGTATCTATTCTCTTTCACTGTTTGGTTTATGTGCCATAGAGATAAGGATGAATGAGGCAGCTTGCAAATAGTGGGAAAGGGAGATAATAGGTATGTAGATATTACTTCCAAGCCTATGATGAGACCTTGTGCCACAGGAAGCTGTGACAGATTCGTTCTGAGTTGCAAAGTTTTGCTAGGAAAACAGATATTCTGCCTGAGCTTTTCTACATGTAGCCTCAGGCTGATCTTTGAAGGAGGAGTAATTACTGCCCCCAAATGAGGCAATGGTGACAAGAGCATTTTAGCATCAGGAAGTACACGTGTTTGGAAGGAAATCTTTACTAAGGAAGGCCGACTCCAATGAGCTGGTTCTCATCTCGATATGGTATGCTAAAAGGCATTTCAGAAGCCAAGTACAGAAGAGTTTTGAGAAAGAAACGGCTTAGACAACAGGCTCCACATAAGAAAATTTCTTGTTCTATATCCTCAAGTGATCATCATACTTTCTTTTAAATCCTAGATTCTGGCCCATAACTTTTGTTTTTAAAACTTTTATTACATTTATTTATTTATTTATTTATTATTTAGCGTGTGTACTATATACATGTGGTTCTTTCCTTCCACCATATGGGTTCCACCATTAAACTCAGGTTGTCAGGCTGGGAAGCACATGCCTTTACCTGCTGAGGCATCTTCCTTGCCTGGCTTTTGGACAGTGTGTATAATCATTCCATTTGCTGACACATTGATTCACTAAACCTATATTTATTGAATTCTGTCTGGTGTTAGTATTGTGATAATGAGGTACTTAAGACATATGCAGTCTTCTTGTGCATGTGTGTGCTTTTGTGTTTTGAAACAAGGCCTTGTTGCACAGCTCTGCTGAAACTTACTATGTATTCCAGACTGACCTTGAGCTCATGATCCTCCTGCTTCTGCTTCCCAAGAGCTGGGGTCAACTGAGTGGGGTGGTGCACTCCTTTAAGTCCAACACTTGAGAGGCAGAGGCAGGCAGATTTATGTGAAATCAAGATCAGTCTAGTCTACAGAGGAAGTTTCAAGCCAGCTGGAACTACAGGGAGACCTTATCCCCGCCCCCCCCCAAAAAAAAACCAGAAAGGAAAAAGAAGTCCTGGAATTATAGACATGTGTCATTCCACCTGTTCTTGATATGATCTTTACCTTAGGATAGCCTTAATAATCAACACAAAAATAAACGATTTCATATAACAATACCTGTCATAAAATAAAGTGCAATGATGTGATAAAATGTTGAAGGTATGGTTTTAGAGAAGGCTCTTCAGGATAAATGTTCTCTGAAAAATGAGACATTTAAGCTCAGACCTAAATAACGAGGAAGAGGAAGTGTGTGAAGATCCCTGAGCAGAGGAGGTGAAGCAATTGCAAATATCCTAAGGTGAGAGCAAGTACAGTTTGTCAAGAGTCAGGAAAATGTCATTATGGCCAGGAATGCCTGTAATCCCACTCAGAAACGAAGCTCACAAATTTTAGCCCAGTCTGGGCTACATAGTGAGCTCCAAATCAGCGTTAGTTTTAAGGTGTACTCTATCTAAAAAAGAGAGTGCAGAGAGAATGCAAAAATTTTTGGAGTATAATGAGATAGGTGGTGCCTGACATGATATGAGGTTTTAGAGAAAATTTATATTATGTAAAGCCTATAGACCCTAGCTAGGAGCACGGATTTGATTCTAAGTATGAGTGGAACATTTAAAACAAGTTTTAATGTACTTTAGGCTATATTTATTAAAGAGCACTACAGATCTAGTGTTGATAAGGGATGAAGAGGGCATAAGAAGAAGCAGAGCTGACAGTTTCAAGTAAGAGATGATGAGGGCTTGGACTTAGGGGAGGGGCAGTGGAGATGAAAGGATGCTTATTTTGAGATAGAAATTCTGCTTTGTTTCCTAGGCTGGTTTTGCCTAGCCTGGTTTTCCTGGGCTCAATTAATCCTCCTGTCTAAGCCTTCTTAGAAGCTGGGTCTACAGGCATGCAAAGCTATACCAAGCTATAAAGGGGAAATTTTGAAGGAAGACATGCTAGGATTTATTGGTGGAATAGGTATAGAAATGGTGATGAAAATAGAAGGCTTAGGGAGTAGATATGAAGATAAAAGACCTTTCTTTTAAGGTGTAAGGAACTAATTTTAAAGAGAAAGAGCACTTTATCCCCATCATTTAGATATGAAATACCCAAGAATGGAAAGGCCAATAGTATAGAGTCATTTGGGGCCCAAATCATCAGGGAGGGTCTTCTGAAATAAATAAGAATTGGATCTTGGAAAATGAGTGGGCTTTCACAGATTTTGAGGGTTGGAAGGACATGTACAGTTTAGAAAGAGAGCATCAGCATGAGTGAAAAGTCCAAGGTAGAAATGAGATATATGAGGGGAGATTCCAACATACATTTAGTTGAAAAAGTAGTTGAGTGTGGGAAATGGGACTGGGTCAATAGTTTGGGAATAGCTCTTAAAAGGCTTTGGAATTGATGAAGTAATTGTAGTGGTAGTAGGCAGGAGGTAAGGGCCCAGAGAGAATAATAATCTAAAAAAAGTTTTCCAGCCAGACGTGGTGGCGCATGCCTTTAATCCCAGCACTTGGGAGGCAGAGGCAGGTGGATCTCTGTGAGTTCAAGGCCAGCCTGGTCTACATAGTGAGTTCCTGGACAGCTGGGGCTACAGGGAGACCCTGGCTCAAAAAGACAAAAAAAAGTTTTCCATTTGATTAACATTCTCTGAGACGGAGAGTGTGACATAGCAACCTGGGGCTGCATATCAGATGCATGTACCTCCAGAATACAGCTATACATGATGGATATCTGAAAAGTTCAAGGTACAAAACCTAAGATGACAGCTTTCAATGCTCTGTCACATCTATCCATCCATCCATCCATCCATCCATCCATCCATCCATCCATCGATCCATCCATGTGATCAGAAAATTTCTTCTTAAACATCTGAATTAACCTGTCTTTATTTGGGGAGATATTTTATAGTAAAAAGAGGTCAGTGCTTACCTTGGACTAATAATTATTAAGCTGTGTTGTTCACTTGTAGTTTCACTTATCTGGCACGTATTCAGTGCTAGGATGTCTATTTAAAATAAATATTGTATTTCTTTTAAAATACTATTACTATTGTGTATCTGTGTGATGTGTATGGTTGAGGGTGGTTGCATGCATGCCCTGGTACACATGTGGATGTCAGAGAACAACTTTTAGGGAGTTGGTTCTCTCCTTCCATTGTCAGTTCCAAGGACTGAATGCAGGTCACTAGGCTTGTGAGAAAAGCACGTTTATTTGTTAAACAATCCTGCCAGTGTTCTTGTATTTATTTCTCAAATAGCCAAAGAAAGTAAGAAAAACAATCCTCACTTTACTGAAGGGGGAACTGAAACATACAAAGAATTAGAAACTGTTGCAAGATTATATAGCAAATAAGTTAAAAATGGGGCTACCCACTTATCATTGTGCTCAGAACAGGGGCTTCCAGAAACATGACAAGCTTGGAGGAATTCCTCATTCTTCTAGTTAACTTTAATTTTAACCCAGAAAGTAGAGTGGAACTAGACCCTTTCTGTGGTTATTGCTCTCAATAAATTTGCAATGCACTTTTATCTAATATATAGGAGACCCTTATCATAGAGTACCTTTTCTCTGTAGTGTTCCTGGGAAAAAGAAGGAAATTCTCAGGAGCTTCCCATGAGTATTTTAAGTCAGGACTTCCTGTCTGATCTTCCTTTAGGGACATTTGAAATCTATTGCCAAGCAGGCAACCACCGAGAAGCAGGCATGAGGGCAGTCTATAATGTTTCCCAGTGTTCTGGCCGAAAAGACAGCACACGCCAACGGTACCAAGCATCAAGAGTCTACTACATCATGGCAGAAGAGGTGGAGTGGGACTATTGCCCTGATAGGAGCTGGGAACTGGAATGGCACAACCAGTCTGAGAATGACAGGTGAGGCTTCAGAAAAAGTGAGACCACAGTTTTAGAAAATCATTTCCCAGGTGAAGATACTGAAACTAAAAGTAGAAGACATTTATATGTCACCCATGTGATACAAACCCAACTGGGATCATGGACTAGAATGTAGGTATTCTCAGTTCCAGTCTTTTGTTCTTCTTTATTTATTCATCATGGAGCTGAAGAAAAAGACCTTGCTACATTTTCACCCTTTAGCCTTGCTTCCCTTCTAGTTAGATAAAAGTACTTACACTGCGACTTAAATTTCATAGAAAATTTACCCATGCAATGAAATACCTCAAGGCCATTATTATAGTATGGACTTACCAGAATAACAGAAAACGTCCAAAATAAAACAGTTTAAATAAAATACTTTATCTTTTATTTGCATAATTGTATAGTTAGGAATAGTTCGTGGCTGGCAGGTGAACTATGCCACCCTCAACAATTACTTTCATCTCTAGAACCAAGATTCTATTTCAGTTGTAGTCATCCTTAGCTTTCAAGTCAGGGTAAGCAACACTGCTTGCAAGGAAATTGTGCATATCACTTTCTCTCATGACCCATAGCCCTGAACTTATTCTTATGACTATGTATAGATATAGCTAAACAGGAAATGTTATATCTGGATAAAGTGTCATGCATGCCACTGAAACCTAGGTGATTCTATTACTAAAAAGAGGGAGGTGACTACAGACTGAGGTACAGATTAATAGTGTCCCCAAATACGTGTATGTTGCTTTCAATGTTGTATGTTAATTTGTGACCTTTATGTTGAATGAAGTCTTTATGCCAAGTTTCTATATGGGTTAGCCTTGGTTTACTCATCTGTAGTGCACAGTTGGAAGAACATTACTAGAGAAGAAAGAAGGGTAGAAACCGCATGCTTGATTCTAAGTCCTGCCTACTTTCCTGGCTGACTGTCTCTAGAGATAAGTCCCAGCAACTCTGGCTAATGATTATCTTTCTGAGACTCACCTGCTTAGAATGCTCACTGTTTAAATGAGTAATAAACTCTGTTAACTATTAAACATTCTGTAATGAGAAATCTGATGGTCTCTCTTTCCATGCTTGATTCCTAACAGCAGCTGTTGATACTTATCTGCCACCTTGTACCTCGTCCTTTTGTTAGATAATTCCAAATGTGAAAGTCCATTATGGCTGGAACTAAAGCTTTGAATTCTTAGCCTAATGCTCTTGGCCAGTTAATTGTACTTCAAAATTCTATATGGATGATGGAAAACAATAAACATAGATTCTGGAACCTACAATTTTAATTAGGGTAATATAATTTGGCATTATAAGGAAAAGGACTACATTTTCTTTCATATTTGATAGTAGAATAATTTTTACCCAACTTCTCCTTATCTCCAAATAAAGATTGAAGGTCAGGTGTTAATAACACTCTTTGGATTCTTCTAGTTATGGTCATGTGTTCCTGAGCAACAAAGATGGGCTCTTGGGTTCCAGATACAAGAAAGCTGTATTCAGGGAATACACTGATGGTACTTTCAAGAACCCTCGACCAAGGTCTGGACCAGAGGAGCACTTGGGAATCCTAGGTAAGGAATTTTTACTTACATCCTAGCACCTCAAAAACTGAGTTCCTTCTAGCACAGCTATATTACATCAGGAAGGCGTTCCCATTCCTCATTCTCAACTTTTCCATGTGATATATTAGAAGCATGATGTTATTTCACAAGACGCTTTTGAATATAGGAACTAGAAGAAAGGAAAAAATAAGAATTCTGTTGTAACTTGTAGTTTTTTCCAGATATTCTGTACTTTGTAGATATGGGGCATCTGAGGGTAGCACATTTTTAAAAGACCCCAGAGGCAAGAGAACTTCGGAATTCCAAAAAGAGAAAAACAAAAGTGATACGGGGAGTATGCACTACTGCTACACCCCAAATTAATCCTGGCTGTATGTTACTTTTGTCCAATGGTATTTAAAAATTATCTTCCTATATCATGAGAGACCCATTGGTCTCTGAAGAGATTGTAGCTATTCTGCATTCTGTGATGAGCTCTCCCTCCTATCAATGATTCCACAAAATTCAGAATCTCCAGTCTTTGGCTATTATATAGAGAGAAATAGGATGGGGAAAGTGGGGTAACTGGAAGCATATTGATGTTGTTGACATACTCCCATGCTGTGCATAGCAATATTAATTTTAGGGCCTCTCAGTCTAAAATTGGTACTAGCCGTGACTTTTAGTCCTGGAAGGATTAATTCCCAATTCTAGGGAGTTTCCAGGTATCTTATTACTTACTGCTTCCTATTCACTCCCCTACTAATGAAACTTGTATTTCTCTTATATATCTTAGGTCCACTTATCAGAGGAGAGGTTGGCGACATCTTGACTGTGGTGTTCAAGAATAATGCCAGTCGACCATATTCTGTGCATGCCCATGGAGTTTTAGGATCTAGTAGTGAGTCTCAGACTGCTGAGCCTGGTGAGTTGGGACACTTATTGAATGGACAAAGACTTTGCAGCCCCCCAGCTTTAATCTTCTGATTTCTTCCTTTAAACAGGTCCTTGGGCTGTGGGTGTAGCTCAGTGAAAAGTCGAGGCAAAAAGCTGCACTGGGGTTCTAGATATATTTTTTGTTTTGTGTTTTTGTGGTGCTTGTATTTTGATTAATAATCTCATGTATTTTTTAATAGAACATGGTTTACTTCGTTTTTTCCCATCTAGTTCCTTAAAGTGTAAAATTAGGTTGTTTTTATGGGCTGACATGCAATGTTTGGTTACTGTAAAGAAATACCAGACATCCCACTTTATAAAGAAGAGTTTACTTGCCTTACACTTCTCTAAGTACAAGATCTATGAACCTCATCCAAGTAATGAGCTTGAGTTTTGAGACACCACATAGCATCACATGGCAAGACAGGGAGTGTATGTGTGTATATACATATGCCTGTCTAGTATTCTTATAAAACCATGAGGATTCTTTCCTTACCCTAATGACTTCCTTAAAGCCTCACCTCTAAATTCTATGACCGAATTACATTTCCATCCTTTTATTACTTCATGATAGGTGCTAAATTTCAACAAATGACACCTTAGGGGACACTCAAACTACACCTGAACCACACTGTGTGATATCTTTCTTTCATCTTAATGTTTGTGTTTATAGCTGTAAATGTCTCTCTGAGCACTAAACCTACAGCATTCCACCAATTTGTGTGTGTTGTGTGTTGATTTTCATCCGTTTCAGGGTGTTTCATGATTCGTTTTGTAATTCTTTAAAAAATTTATTAATTTTGCTGGCCATGATGGTGCATGCCTTTAATTTCAGCATTCAGAAGGCAGAGGCAGGCCGATCTCTGTGAGCTCAGAGCCAGCCTGGTCTACATGGTGAGTTCCAGGCCAGCTGGGGCTACAGGGAGACCCTGTCTCAAAAACACACAAAAGTCACTATTTTTTTTCCAAAATTTCATTGCATATATTCATTATATATGATACTCTGATTTGTAAGAACAGTTTTGTTTAAGTATATATTCTACATTGAGCACACTGACCTCCCCACCATACTCTTGCCTTCCCTTCCTCATCCTTTTGCCTCTCCTCTTAGTCCCATTTGTTCACCAGGACAGTTTTACTCACACTTTCACGTCATAGACTAATAAATGATTTCACTTATCCATATAAAAATCTAAGAATCACAAATGAAAGAAAACGTGATATTGATTTTTCTAAGACTAGCTTAATTTGCTTAATATGATTATCTCCAGTTATGTTCGTTTTTCTGTAAATGACACAATCATGTTCTCCTCGATGGCGGAAAAGAATTCCACTTACACACACTGTATTTTTTCTTTTCCATTCCTCTTTTTGTTAGATACTTAGGCTAGTCCCCTAATTTATCTATTATGAATAGTGCTGGATTAAGTATTGATGTGCAATTACATCTCTGATATGTTGACTTGGAATCCTTTGGATTTATATTCAGGATTAGTTTTTACAGAAACTCTATACTGACTTCCATAGTAGCTGAACTACTTTATATTCCCAACAATAATGCAGAAAGTTCTTTTTTTGTTTTCTTAATCAATCCTATTCTGACTGGGATGATATGGAATCTCCAAAGTAGTTCTCATTTGTATTTCTGTGATGGCTACAAAAGCTGAATATTTTTCATATATATTAGCCATTATTTCAATTTTTTGAGAATTGTCTGTTCATTTCAGTAGTTCATTGATTTTGATTGAGTTGCTTGATTTCCTATTGCTTAATTTGTTAGTTTTTTGTAGATCTTAGATATTAATCTTGTCAGATATATAGGTAACAGATATTTTCATCCCTTCTGTAACCTGTCTCTTTGCTCATTTAATTTCTTTTTGTTCAGAGTCTTATACTTCTACGAAGTCTCATTTGTCAATTGTTCTTACTATTTTCTGAGCAACTACAGTGTGATTAAGAAAAGTATTTTCTTGGGCCTGGAGAGATGGCTCAGTGGTTAATAACACTGGTTGTTCTTGCAGAAGACCTGGGTTTGAATCCCAGCACCCATATGGCAGCTAGCAACTGTCCGTGGCTCCGCTTCCAGGAGATCTGACAGCCTCTTCTGTCCTCCATGGGCATTCCACGACACGGGTGCACTTACCTACATGGAGGCAATACACGAATACACATAAAATAAAAATAATAAATAAAATTTTCTATAAAAGAAAAGCTTTTCCTATAACTATATCTTGGGGTGGTTTTTACATTTTCAGATGTTTTATTAAGGTCTTAGATTAATTTGAAGTTAATTTTTGTAGAAGGTGAGAGATAGTAGGGATATCATTTTATTCTTTTACATGTAGATATCCAGTCTTCTCAGCACAGTTTGTTGAAGAATCTTTTCTCCAACGTATATTTTTGAAATTACTGTCAAAATTCAGGCAGGTTCTAGTATATGAGTATATCAGTATCTTCTGTTCTATGTTTTTTTTTCTGGACTATTGACTTTATCTCCAACAAAACCATGTGCTTGTGGTGGTTTGAATGAGAAAGTCCCCCATAGGCTCCAAGTATTTGGATATTTTGTCCCCAGTTCATGGCACTGTTTTGGGAGGTTTTCTTTTTAAAAATATTTTATTTATTATTTTTTTCCAGTTAATTCTTTATTTAATAACCACAAACTTAGAAGAAGCATTTCATTGCAACAGCATTGACATATTCAATAACAATTTTCTGAGCTAAGATGCGTCTTTTTCAAAATTGGTTTACAGTTGAATTGTTACAGTTAAACAATATTGTACTCATTATAAACCCTATAAGACATAAAATTAAATAAGGTTTTAACTTTTAAAGAAGATCTCCATTTCATTATTAAAATACACAGCTTCATACAGAAAAATTCATTTTCAATGCAATTGACTTTAAGATGTTTGCACATGTGTTTCTAATCTCTATATATCTGATTATTACTAGTCACAGTCAGTTACTTTCTGATCTCCTTGGCATCTGAGCATGGATATAAAGTCATCAAGTAGATTTCAACGGTGATGTTTTTCACATCTACCAATTATTATTTTTTAATCATTATTTTTAAATTTTTTTAAAATAACTACATGATTAGAGGAAGCATTTTACTACAGATTTAACATATTCAGTAACATACTCCAGAGCAAGAGTACATCTCTTTCACAAGTGGGTGCAAGCTTCTGGGTTCACACTTGAGTTAACACAGTTATACAATATTGAACTCAGTATAAGCCCTGTAAGACGTAAAATTGAATGAGTTTTTACCTTTAAAAAAGATCTCCATTGCCAGGCAGGCGTGGTGGTGCACGCCTTTAATCCCAGCATTTGGGAGGCAGAGGCAGGCAGATCTCTGCGAGTTCAAGGCCAGCCTGGTCTACATAGTGAGTTCTAGGACAGCTGGGGCTACAGGGAGACCCTGACAGAAAGTATAAGACCGGGGTGGATTTCAGCAGTAATGTTTATCACCTCTACTAATTAGCATGATGTAAATTCCCATGCTTTCTCCTCAAATATAATACATTTCTTAAAAATTGGTTGATTTTTTTTTTGTGTGTGTATATCACACAGAACACCCCAAACCATCTTATTTGACTATACACCCACTTCCCAGGTAGCACCCTCCCATAGCCTCCCTCCCCCAACTAGAGCCCTTATACTCTGATATCCCTGCTACTGTCTGCTGTATTGTCAGCACCCCAGCCAATCCCCACTACTTGCCCTTCTGGTGAATCTAGTCGGCATATCTAGAGGTCTTTGTTTTAGGAGGGTCAGCTGTTCTTGTAGCAGCAATCAGTTGTCAATACTCATTTAGATAAGATTAGGGTATGCTGTTCATTTTCCCAGTTCTATGCAGGGTTACTATTTGGGAGTCCCTTTGTTCACCCTGGTCAACAATTCAAAAGAAGGTTTCTCCTATCCAGCAATGTTGCTTGTTATGTAGCCTTTAGCTATGCATATGGACTCTTAAGAAATTATATTGACCTCTTTAATCTTTGGTTATACTTTCCTTTTGGATGTTTAAGGCTGTACAGTTGGCCCTGATAAACCAATTTATTTTTACCCTTAAGGTCCTTTGAGGAACTGTTCCTCAGGGGTCACATGGGCTTAGGAGGAGCTCCTGGCTCCTTTCTTTTACTAGTTCCGCCTGTGTGAAGATAAGTCAAAGGTCCTGCTCGACCATGGTTGGCTTCACTTGGAAGCATGAAGGAAGTGATTCCTCTGTGTTGACCCTCCTCTTTGTTGACTAGACACAGGTTCAAGTCCATCCGGTGGGGTCTCCTTGGCCTCCTTGATGAAGAGGACAGGTGACCCAACACCATTACAGAACATTTTGAGAGATGCTCATAGTCCCCTGGAACTAGTCAACCTAGGAGGACAAGGAGCAAAAACTGTACTTTATGTCCCTCTTAGAATAGGTCTTAAAATAAGTCTGTTAAACATCCAAGGTTAGTTCCACCAGTCTGGTACTTTTAATTATTGTGTGCCATGTAGATAAGTCTTGGGGAAAGACCAATTGTTCTCAGATAAAGCTTACTTAGACATGTATTTCTTGATCTGCTATGTATAATTTGTCAGTAGGTTGTAGGAGTAATATGGTTCCCTCTGGTTTTCAAAACTAGCTAGGCATTATTTATTTTGCACATTGACTCACACCTCCATCATGGTTTTCCCACTTAAGGTGCCCCCATTTCCTCCCTTTCTCCCTTAATAATACCCTTCTCCTACGGTCCTACCTCTCTTGAGCTCCTTCTTTCCCCTTGTCCCCTAGGTTCTTTGGATACCCTTTCATCCCCCCTCCTTTAAACTAACCCAGTTTTTATCCATATCTCCCTTATTAAGGACTGTTACCTACTATTCTTCTCCTTTAGGTTATTTCTTTTCCTTTACTCCCAGGACATTCCATTATCCTGGTTCCTGTAGTTATGTCTGGTTGCATACTTATTTATCAGAGTCTGGTTCTAGGATCCACATATGAGGGAG